GAGCCTAATTTTAGCTCCGGACCGACGCTGGCTCCGGCCATGGAGCCACATTTTAGCTGTAGACCGGAGCTAGCTCCGACTGCAGAGCGTAATTTTAGCTCCGAGTTCGGAGCTAGCTACAACCTGGAGCCCAATCTGGGGCTCCGAGCCGGAGTTAGCTCCAACCGTTGAGCTAAATTTTAGCTCCGGGCCGAAGCTAGCCTCTACCTGGAGCCCGATCCGTGGCTCCGGCCCGGAGCTAGCTCCGACCGTGGAGCCTAATCTTGGCTCCAGGCCGGAGCTATCTGCGGCCTGGAGCTCGAGCCAGAGCTCCGGCCCGAAGCTAGCTCCAACCATGGAGCCTAATCCTGGCTCCGGGCCGGAGCTAGCTCCACCCTGGGAGCCCGATTCGGAGCTAGCTCCGGACCCCTGGTCATTCCCTACTTAAGTTGATGTTAAGTGATGTTGTACATCAAAATCTTGGTATACAAAGCCTTACTTTTTTAGCCTTTACTTTAGATGCCGAGTAAAAGTAATGGTAAATATGGTGATATTGTTCTGAGAAAAAAACGAACAAGAGGCCGCCCTTAAGCGAAGTCTGGCTTTTTTTTAAAAACAATTTTGTGTGCATCTGAACATTACTCTCTTTGACTGTTTAAGAGCGAGTCTCAAAAGTGTGGTTTTACTCGCTTTCAGACGAGAATAACCAGAGGGCCGGCAATTCCATGATTTCAGAGACAATGTCATTACTACGTACTTAAAATTAGTTTGTACCATAAAAAGGCAAGTTATTTCCATGCTACGAGACAAAAGCTAATCTGTAGATAGGAGACCACTTGACGAGGACTAACATGTCTCAGGCGCGTTCGATCACTCGAAAATGAGTAAAAGCTGTTGAGTTCACTCGACATGACACGGATGGCGAGCATCTCCCCAATCGATAGCCACTGAGAAAAACACGTAAATTTCCTCTCATGATCGAAGCTCATGGTCAAGCAACAGGATCACGTGAATATGTTGCGAAAATACCAGTGGCGTGGTGTGTTCGATAGATCGATTTAGCGATTGATCTGCCATTTAAACCTTTAAGAATGATCGATAAACAGGGTGTTTGCAACGAACACCATAATAATCCAGGGCCAGATTTAGGGGATAGCCACATGGGCCGCGGCCCGTGGCGGCAAAAGGGGCGGAAAATGTTGTCATTTTTTCAAATGGAGGCACCTATCAAGAAAAAAATCTGATTCAGAAAAAAAAAATACAAACGAGAAAAGGCGAAAAAATCTCTCATTTCCTGAGAGTTAAAGTATAGTAATTTCTAATTTGTTCGTCTTTCGGTGATACAAGAGACAGCGCCTTTCATTAGTCTAGTTGAGAGAGAAACCAAACACGCAATTTGGCCTGGAGCAGCGCGGCGCAGCGCAGAGAGCAATGATGACGAGGGCTTGAGATGGAAAGGAGAAGCCCTCGGCGCGCCGGTCAGCATGAAACACATATCAACGCCTGCAAGACTCCCTGAATACTTCACGCATTGCGTCAAACGTAGTGCGATCAGCAGCGGTTGGCGTAAAACTCA